AGATAAGTAATTAATCTGATAGAGAGTTCAAAATCATGGTCATAAAGATGCTCACCAAGGTCAGGAGAGCAATATATAAACAAAGTATTTCAACAAAGAGACAGAACATATTTAAAAGTACCAAACAAATCACAGAGCTGGAGAATGTAATCACTGGAATGAAAAATACAATAGAAGGGTTCAACAGCAGACTAGCTTAATGGAAGAAGGAATCAGTGAAACTGAAGATAGGGTAGTGGAATTCATCCATTCAGAGGAGCAAAAAGAAAAAGAAATATTAACCCTGTCCCTTAACACTGATGGTGTAGAGAAGTTCCATTACAAGTCTAGGCTGCAGGCAACGTTACCTGTACTATAAACTGTTCTAGTAGTCTAAAAGCGTTCCTAGAAATCTTCAAGGAATTGTTTATAAGACCAGGATTTTACCCCTGCGCCAGTAGCTTCATTTGTCCAGACCAAATGCAATTTGCTTTCCACCTATGTACATACAATATATTCTCTATATATGGAAATCCATTCATATACACTCACAAAAGTCAACTTAGACTGAGAACTTAGTATATTCAGACACAGTTCTAGAGCAGTGGTCAGAAAACTGCGGCTCACGAACCACATGCGGCTCTTTGGCCCCTTGAGTGTGGCTCTTCCACAAAATACTGACTTCTGTGAATGGGCCACGAAGTTTCAATCGCACTGTATGTGCGCGCCTGCACGTGGTATTTTGTGGAAGAGCCACACTCAAGGGGCCACAGAGCCGCATGTGGCTCGCAAGCCGCAGTTTGCTGACCACTGTTCTAGAGGCTTCACCATATAGCTATACCATTAATTAGAATTATCTAATTCAACCATCACAACAAACCAATGAAGTGGGTACTACTGTGCCTCATTTTTTAGAAAGTGTAACTTGGTGGCATCGGAACTAAAATAACTTGTCCAGGAGGTCTCACAGCCAGGAAGCAGCAGGGTCAGGATTTGAACCTGGCCCCAAAGCAGCTTTCTAATGGCTGTGACACCAGAGTTGTTCTCTCATAGAATACAATGTCTCACCACAAAAAGGAACTGCTCCAGTTTTCCTCTCATAAAAATACATATTTCTATATAAGTATGACAAATGTCAGGAAGGGCCTCTTGGTGGCATAAGTCAGCCTATTATAAAGATATGGATAATCTAAAGGGCATGATAGATGGAGACTTGGAAAACAAGAATACATATCCTAACAGCAATGAAAATTGTAATAAGATGACCCTTAGCTACCTGGGGGTAACCCAGTGTCTCTGTCAGCAAAAATGACCAAACATGCACTTCTAACACAGGCTGTGCACAAAACGTTCTATTGAGTTGGCTCCAACTCCTGGCGACTCTATGAATGAGTGATGTTCACTGTGTCCTGCCTTCAACAGCCCTGCTCAGAAAATTGCATGCATGTGCTATTGCCAATTCACAAATTAAAGATTAGGAAATCTTAATTTATTTCTAAACTAGAGGACCGGTGCACAAATTTGTGCACGGGTGGGGTCCCTCAGCGTGGCCTGGGGGATTGGCCCAAAACTGGCAGTTCAATGCTGCCTGCCACTCCTGCTCATCCTGGCCCTGCTGCACACCCCCCGCAGGCTTGTGCCCAGTCAGTCTTGATTGGGAGAGGCTCACACCGCCATAGCGGCATTCGCCAGCCATGAGCCCTGCTTCTGGCGCCCTTCCCAAGGGGGGCGGGGGGGACAGGATGCGATCGGCCCTCCAGGAGGGCGCCCTTGCCAGCCCAGGATCCGGATCTGTCCCCGCTGACGTTCATGCCGGTTGTCGGTTGTCGAGAGCCACCTGGCAGCCACTTTTATATCGTTTCTTCCTTGTGGAGCATCTAGGGAGGGGAAGCAGCCGCAGTGCCCGAGGCCAACTTCCAGGAGGCCAGCGACGCTGTCAGGATTGTGCCGACGGCATCGGTCCATCGGAGCCTGGCCCATTCTCCAGAGATTGGACTTGCAGGACTACTGAGGGAGTGAGTGGCTGCTGCCAGACTGGTGGGCCTCCCGGATGGTTTGGTCAGCTGAGGGGCACTCCCACTGAGGGAGCGCTCTGACCACCAGGGGGCAGCTCCTGCATTGAGCGTCTGCCCTTGGTGGTCAGTGCATGTCATAGCAACCAGTCGATTGGTTGTTCGGTTGCTTAGGCTTTTATATATATAGATTTGGGGATGAAAAATAAATATAGCATGTGAGTAACATAAATCCCATTTTGGAGACTCTTAGTTTAAGCTATTCATGCACATTTATATATTCCTTACTTTCAACAGTCTGCCAGAGGCGCATACTGAACCAATGCAGATTCCACGCTGCTATGCTGAGGGAGTTGCTGGTGAGGGAAGGAGCCTTGGGACTGCCCTGCATCTGCCTCTGTGAGTTTTGAGGATCTTTACTATGGCCTTGCATATAGCAACCAGCAAGAAATTATGAAAGCTTTAATTCTTTGTCAAAATGCATCTGCCTTCCAAATAATAAAACACCCTCAAATGTTATTGTTAGGATTTCTTTAAAAGCCACAAAACTTAAGAAAATGAAGATCCTTAGCCAGAAAATATATATATATTTTAATATATATAGATATAATATATATATATATTAAAATATATATA